GGGTGGGGAAGGTCCCCATGGCAAGCTGACAAAGGTGTCCCGCCGTAAACCAGCAAGCACCAGCCGCATGGTCCCCACTAATGGCCAAATGGAAGGCAGCAGGCCCCGAGGGCCACTGGAGCGATTTGAGCCTTTGGACCTTTCCCGTCGACCCTCCCCTGGCCAGGGTTCTGAAGATGATGGAGGGGCGGTCACCCTGAACCAGTGCCTCTTCTGTCCCTTCCGCACCTCCTCCGCAGAGCTGATGGCGATGCACTTGCAAGTCAACCACACCAGCAAGTCCCGACGCAAAAGGAGCTTGATGGGGGAGACCTGGACCCACAGAGAGGCTGCAAAACCAGCCCTTCATCCTGGGGCGGACCCTGTCGCCCTGTGGAAGTCCTGGAGGAATGATGGCTGGGCCAATAGCGCAGTAGTGAGACCTAATGGCTGCTTACGGGAAGGACCGAGAGCTAAGATGAAATCAAACTCAACCGCTGAAACTAACCCTGATTCTACAGCTGTCCGAAGCATGTATGAGTGTGACGATGAGGAGGAAGAAGTAGAAGAGGATGAAGAAGAGGAAGAGGAAGAGGAAGAGATGGAAGGAGACAAGGAGGCAGAAAGCAGTAGTTTAGGTGATTCCCCCAAGACTGAGGGAACAGTAATCCATTCCCCAGCCTTAGGGTTTGAGGAGAGCACCCCTGTGGTAGAGAGGGGTGCGGCCAATTAACCCGAGAGAGAAGAAGCTGTGAGAGGCAATAGGGAAAGAGTTGAGAAGAAAGAAGTAAAAAAAAACAAATAAGAAAGAATATGGATGACAAGGTGTTGCCATAGTTTCAAGTTTTGCTGTCTGTTTTTTTTTTTAATGTATGAGGGAATCCTCAAAAATTCATGATAGAAAAATCATCAACCATGTCCTTTCCCTTGTCCTGCATGGACAGCTTTGATGTTGTGAAAAAAATAAGTTCAGATGACAAAACAGAAAGGTTTGGCCTTAGTACAATTCCAAAGCTTCCACTTTGTGAAGACAACATTCTCACCACTTGCAATCCCAATATTCCATTGGCTGTTCCTGACAAATTATCAACCATCAATTCCAAGACAGTGGTAAATGTGATCCCTCTAAATGGGCACAGAAGAAAAACACAAGCTGCATGGCTTGAGTTTTTCCTCCTAGATGTAAACGGATGTTTCTTATCCTTTTACCAATCATTCTGATTCACATAGCACTTGCGGAATAGAAGAGGCCCCTTTAACTGAAGGAAAGGGTAGTGTTAGAATAAATAGTTACAAAAGTAGGAGATGAATGTCACTTCTGTCAAAGTAGCCATTAGAATTTCAGTATTCAGCAGTATAAGGTAAATGAATTTAATAAAAAAAAAAAACATAAATTTGGTCTGGATATGTCTTTCCTCAGGGAGACAACTTCTTTCTCACAGAAATGAATTCACACAATAAAATATGCTTTGCTGGATGAGTGAGCATTAGGTCTGCTGCTGGAATTGCCCATACTGGTGCCAGAGAAGAACATGGACTCAGAAACAGCCTTCTGTTCAAAAATCTTGCCAGCCATTGAGGTAGAACTTCATACTGTTATCGTAAAAGTATTCTCCATTTCCATATCAGTATTTCCAACATGGACAGCTTAGAGTGCTGTGAGTTCAGATGGACCATACCACTCCAACTCAGGAGAAGCAGTCCTGCATGTGGAACTAAGCAAGAATTTATCTGTGAATACATTCCATAGGGCCAATCTAGAACTGGTTCTATTAGTCACAAAGCTGCCTTTGGCATTTCAAAGGGCACCCAGAAAACGACGGGCACCTTTATTGCCACTGTAAGCCACTTGACTGCAAGCGTGCATGATGCCTGTCCACATCCATTAAGCACTGAGCGATCAGTTGTGTCTGAGAACCACTTACATCCTCATGGCAAAGATGCCCTATTTAACGCCTGTGGTCCCAAGCCAAGACAATGGTGCAGAGAACCACGCAGCTGGAAGCCCAGAGTGTGCTCATTTACCTTAACTTGCAGACATGCTTTTCACTTGCACATGACTCAGTTGTCCCATTTCCATCTGGTTTGATGTATTCCAAGTGTGATTTCGAGAACTGTGTGTTTCTTAAGAACAACATTAGTGCCTAGTAACGTGGTAGGAAGACGGTCATTGATCTGATTTATGGATAGAAAGAAAAACTGCAGAAGTGTAAAGAAGAAGGTTATTATACATAAATTAGATGGCACTGGCGTCATTCAGTCTGACTACTGTACATAATGCTGACGCCTTTAGGAAAAAATGGTATGAGATAAAATGAAAACAGAGGGCATATTTCCATGTGTATTACAAAAGTGCCAGTATTGTTTGTGAAATGTTATTGTAACAGAGCTATAGGTTTATTAAGAAACTGGCACTGTTGACATCAATCCAGAGTCTGTTTTTTCCTGCGATGAAGGTGCATTTGAACAGGGAAGAGAAGGTGCTACAGGTTCACCGTGCAGGGAGATGGAAACCAAGCAATGGGCTTGGACTCACTGTTCATCACTCACCCCCTCTCCCCCGTCCCCAAGAAAAAAAAAAAAACTATCCATCTAAAGATAAGAACAGATGCGGAGCAAAAATAACCAGAAGCAAATCCGAATACTACTTCTTTTAGATCAGTAGTTTTGTTTTTTTAAGTTAAACAAGTTATAAAACACTAACAAATAGAAAACCCAGTAGAAAATGTGTAGCTTTTATAAGACAAAAAAGAACAAAAAAATAAAGGTAAAGAGTATTAATATTAGTAATAATAATAATTATAACAGTTACAAAAAAACTGGAATTAAATGTATGCAGATCACTGTGTGAGGGGTACTTTTTCCCTAAATAGTTTTTTTTTCCAGTTAAGGACAACCAAACATTTTATATAAATATATATAAATATATTAAATGAAGTAGCTTTTTTCTTGTTGAACCTGTTGAGCTACAGCTTGAACTGTGACCCATGGTCCTGTACCTTCATCTTCTCATGATGCAGGGGGCGGGGGGGGCACTGCCACAGGCAGACATTTATTTTTTTGTATAAAATGTGCAATTCCAGCACACTGGAGCATTTGGGTTTGACCCTTAATCTCTGTTGCCTTTTCTTAAGGTAAAAGTATTAATTGCGGTACCCTCAGTTCAAAAAGCTTCCCTTTGGTTCAGTCCGTCCTTAAATCCTCAAGTGTCTCCTACCTACACTAGTAATAGGGCTGACTTCTCAGAGCATGTAAACGTCTCTAAAAATTGTTGAGATTTGTGAACTCTATCCATTGGATTGGATTACTGTGTGATTATCCTGAGGGTAGGATTTGAGTTCTTGTGTTTTTTTTTCTTGATAAGAAGAGGGCCAGTGATTCTTGTTGTGGCTTTATTGCGTCAGTCTGTGCGTTTTATTCTTTTGTTATTAGAGCACCTTATGAGTTTACAGTCAGAGCGTCGGTTCTTAGATTCGATGCCATCGTGCCTTCTGTTTCGAGCACTTCCTGGTGTATCCTGTGAGCTCACCAAAAGCACTTAGTCTCTTTCAGTTCATTTCTGATACCTAATCATTTCTCTTCTCACTGCCAATGCCTAAATTCCACTTGCCACCCATTTTTAGTGATTTAATCCTGCTCAAATGCTCAAATCCTGAATCGTTCATTGTCCTTTGCTCTTTCTGTTGACAGCATAGTCTTTTTGATTTCCATTTTAGCTAAAATAAATCTTATTCACAGACAAATGCAGCACATATCTGTGTATCTGTGTGGCAGGAATCCAGGAATCTGTTTTTAATGTTGTCATACTGGGGTGTTAGTGAACCCCTGTGCTCTTCTCTCTATTTCAAACACCATAAGAAGGTGATGTAAACTAACTGGTATTGAGGCCTTTGTTTAAGTTTATGTTGAAATGTGACTTTTTAAAATGATGTTGATGAGATGGGGGATCCATGCTGTACTGCTCTTCTTATAATTATTATTATTATTATTATTATTTTTGGTATAATGAAAAACAACCGTGTCTGATGAATGTTGTACAGATAGCACTAGTAACAATGTGTTTTACTGAGACCACAAACCCAGCAGCTCTGCTACTGTGCCTGACGATATTCTTCCTGAAAAAGTTGGTAATAATCACAAAGGATGTATGTGACGTATATATATTACGTGTTGTCATTTCATGTGTATATTATAGAATTACATATGAAAATAACCAGTCATTTATAAGTTAACAATGTCATTGACTTATTGCTTTGTGCATCAACATGTATTAACGTATTACTTTTTCAAGAAGGTTATGACATTTTAAGGCACACGTAGAGGCGGCTCGTTGGCCGGTGGGCTCTGTGTTTGTATGTGTGCTGGTAAGTGCAGTGAGAAGGGTGGGATGCCAGGTGGGTTTGGGGTCTCGTGTAGTTGACTGCCATTGCAGTGAGGGAGCTAATCTAACATGTAGTGACTAATATGAAACCGTGGACAGAAAACATTAGAGGTGAAACCATTAAAGAGTTTTTAAAAGTTCGCCAACTGTGTTTTCTGTTTCTGTCCTGGGATGACTTGTGCAACATTTCAATATGAATGGGCATATCAAAATGCATATAAAACAAGAATTCTACATTGGCTTTTTACTGTCACAGCATGCAATTTTCCATGTGCAAATACTTTTATAGGTTTGCATGCTGCATGGTAGCATCTTGTGTAGTCTGTACCCCAACCTTGTGGCTCCAAGCTTCTCCGTGACCTTAACCAAGATAATATGCAGTTAGAAGACTGATGGATTCAGGTATTCATGATCACTGTAGTTATGTGAAATTTTGTACCAGCTGTGGAGATTCCAGAGTTGTTAAAGAAAATAAGCAATCATTCACATTTACATCGACTATTACTGCTTGCTTCTCAAAATGGAACATAAGGCATTATGATGACATCTAGTGGTTATTATATATTCTCAGTACTTAAGAACGTTAATTCCATGCACTTCACACAAACTGAAACAAGCTAACAAATGGACAAACCCAGAATGCATTGAATCATGGGTTTTATTGCCCTTATGCTTTTTAGACCTGATTTGCCCTTATTCCCTGATTAACAGCGTTTTGCATATGTAACAATGATACCAATACACTGGAATATAAAACAGTATTAGTTCCTCCATTAGATTATTACATGCAGAACAAAACTGTCTTTGCAAATTGTTTGATATTGATTTTTAACCTATATAAAGTCAAAATAATTATTTCTGAGTAAAAATCAACAGCTTTTGTGTTTTTCTTTTCAAATGAATACCACAGTCTACTTAACCAGAGCTTACACTGAATTTAATTTGTTTTGCTGGAAAAAAAGACTCCAGAAAAACCTGAGTAATAAAGTTTGTTTACTAAATAAACCACACGCGTTTTAAACATGAGAAGCGTAGAACATCTTAAGCAAAGACCAGTTAATATCACAAGTAAAAGCAAACATGTGAATGGAACCTCAGTGAAAATACAGGTATCGTTTAAAGGAGAAACACGGATCAGTTTTTACTGACTAATTAAACAAGTAAATCCTATGGACATCATCAAATGCTTGTCACAATACCCATCCTCTTCTCAAGTTATCTTTTGTCATATAGAAAAAAACACCTCTGGATTTTATATACATTTTCAAGTTCCGCTTTACAGTTCTAAGTACAAAGATTTGTGTGATTTTTTTTTTCCTTGGATACAAAGAAACCTCACCCTTTAATCTCTTAACACGACTTGTGTTAAGCGCAGTCCTGTCACAAGAGCTGAACTGCTGTGTCACCAGAAACATCTGCAGTACAATATTTCCTCCCTGAATTTGTTGAACAATACGAAACATTACAGCACTATGTTGATAACAGAAAGAAAAAATAAAGATTACATCTTTTTAGACTCTAAGTCCAGTCTTTTGATTTGGTTTATAACATTTTCTTTCTGGTGCACAGGTGGATCATGGGAAGCCTAAACAAATAACTATTTTCTTACATCAGATATTTGCAAAGGATGTTTTGTGATCACTAGAAGTCCCTGAAAATTGCTTAAAAAAAACATTTCACCCTGTGGGCAAAGACCGTAAGGACAGTTTCAGAGGGTGGGAAAAAAATCTGAGGTCTTAACTGCACCAAAAAAATGTGACTCTTGGATCTCGACAAAAGGGAACATGGCTCAGATTCAAGCAGGTCTGAAAGCCCTTTACCCCGTTTTTTTTCTTGTGCTGCAGCTAGATCACAGGAAGGATCATGCACTGTTTGTGGTAAAACACGAAACGTGCAAACTTTAAAATCAGTGACCCATTTTTATTATAAGTGAAGCTGAAGCAGCAAAGAAGTAAAGAGTTTTCAGCATCCACGGTATGCACTCCTAGTACCCCCCCCCCCAAAAATATATGTGAACCTGAATTGCATGATGCCAAGCAGGTTAACCTAAGAGGCCTTTGAATTACAAGAAGGTCTACAGCCCTTCAAATATTGCAGGGTGGGGCTTCCCCTTTCTCCCCTTTGATGGGGAAACGGAAAATAAACCGACAATACATTTTTAAGACACTGCTTCTAACTGGCATGTGAGCAAGATTTTGAAGTAATGGATAAACATAAAAATATATTTTTTGAAACTATATTGCTGTGTGTCATTTTCTGCAACAGCTGCATGGATTGGATGATCCAGAGTGTTCTCTTTTCAGTAAAGCCTGTTGTTAACAGGAAGGGTTCTAACCCCTGTAGGGGGTGACAAAATAATATGCACAGATAGAGCAAAGTTTCAGTATGTGTACCTGCCCAAGCCCCTGTAGGCAGGCTTACATTGGAATTGGCTGTGATTATTAGAAGTGACCAATATCCAAAAACCAAATCACCTGACTGTAAAATGGCCGGCTTGACCTGGCTGTGAATCACTCAGGGTCTCAAATATGTCAGTTCTGGCTGTGCACCTCTGTCATCATTATTACGTGTAAGTGTGGCAGGTAGCGCTGAAACATGTAACAGCATTTCCTCAAAATAATATATATGCATCCACAGAATCTGTTTCGTGTAGGTCAGTCAGCCATGTTAGTATTAGGACATAAGTGTGTGTGTGTGTGTGTGTGTATCCATAAGAGTCGTTCTGCTTCCTACTCAGGAGGACATGCATTGCATGCTGTCAGGTCCCATGTCCTCTTCGTTTGAGGAGTCGGCTGAACTCCAGGACTCATCTACCTCTCCCTCAGTCCGCCGACTCTATAAGAGGGGTATTAATACAAGTTCAAATTCCAAGCACTACTACACTATACTCCAGAGTATAGTACACAAAGTATAGATCTGTCAGTGATTGTACGGTATTTTACAGATACTTATTGATGCCTCTACTGGTACTGAGAGTTTACTCACCCTCTGCAGCCTCCTGTGTCTCATAAGGAACCAGAGCAGCTGAGTGTCATACCGGTATCCATACCGCATGCTGTCTTCATCGCGCTCTCTCTTGTTCTTCTTTATTACCTGCATCATCACCACATCGATCACCATTAAAAAAACGAAAAAAAAAAAAAAAACATCTTGATCACTTCTACAGCAACAATTTCACAGGTCCACAATCGAGAATGTATGGGAACATGTTTTGTGTGCATGTAAGTGCCACGCGAGTATGGTGCTGACTTCTTTAAGGCCCTTCAGTACAGTCGGCACCTCGGCGGTCGGGGCCCACAGTTTAACATCATGATCCAGGCCACTGGTGGCCAGCATCGGCAGGCAGGGGTGGGGCTCCAGGCAATTTACCTGGAGGGTGACAGCGTGTCCATTTTAAGATACATACTGGATGCTTTCACACTGCAGGAATTTTTTTCAGGAACTGGAACCTTTTTTCCAAGAACCAGGAACTTTTGTTATGTTCACACCGCAAGAACGAACTGTAGTTCATCAAAGCTTTTTTTTAGTCCCTACTAGGTACTTTTCATTCAAACACATACTAGTGGGGAGGGGCTTGCAGCGATAAACTTGCTGATTGGTTGACCACAAGCACTGGTGTCAGATTGGAAGTTACACAGAACTGCTGGGAAAAATTGGAAAATTCAACCGTTAACCGATATATACTTATGTCTAAAATCGCCAGTGTGATAATAATATTATCGGAATTAATCTGCTGGGCAGGTTTAATAATGAGTTATCAACTTGTTGTGGGTTGTGCAAAATATAAATACTAAGCTATGTCTCTCTTTCATTATAGTCACGATCCCCCTCCAATAACTATCAAATAAATAAAAATGATTTTTTTTTTTTTTATTCTATTTTTATTCTATTATATTATATTTATATTATTGGGGTGGTGGTGTAGTTCCATATGAAATTACATGTGAATTTTAACCTATGAGCTTATTGGGTGGGAAAGCAACACATGAAAGTGGACAGGAACTACACAAGTTCCTGTTTGAGACAACCCAGGAACCAGGTTCTAGAAATTTGGTGTGAAAGCACCCACTTACATAGTCACAGGCACACTCGCATTATGATGAATAACAACAAACACACCTTTGCAGTTCTTACATTACTAAGAAAGATCACAGTTTTCTAATGTCTATCGGCTCACTCACCACTCCTCCTCTGTCCCCCTTCATGAACTGTATGATGCGGGACGAGTATTTATCCCACAGGTAGATGTGTCCACAGTCACTGCCGCTGACCACAAACTCGCTGCAGGGGCCGTAGAAATTCACACCCTTCACTGTGTGGCAGGCGGAGGAGAGAGAGGGAAGTGAAGACAGGAAGTCTCACCTAGGGTGCACGGACCCCTTTCCTCCCCCTCACTCACCCGTGACGTCGTTACGATGGCCTTTGTACCTCCGGCTGTATTCTGCCCCATCAGGGAGGTTGGCATCAAACAGGTAAATGTCCTCATCATTGTAACTGGCTAACAGCTCTTAGGGACAATGAGTAAAATATAGATTACAGAACTGCATGGGGGTAGGGGGTCGATCACCATCGATCTCAGGCTGCAGGTCAGCAGTTTTACCTGTCACTCACTCTGAACATGTCACCTAAAAACTGCTCTCAGCATTTTCTTTATTGAGCAGTTTGGACAATAATGTGGGAGTCAAATACATTTCATCCTTGTTTTCAGCTAAAGTGGCCACATTGGGTGGGATTTCATTTGTTTTTCTTCCCTGTCCAAAACCCTTCTGTTTTTCATTAAAAAGGAAAATTCCAAGAGTTAAGATCTGAACTCCATTCTTGACAATTCTGGAAGACTAGTTATTTATGCAGTCACAGTCACAGAAGAGCAACTAACAAATCCTCATGCAGTCAAGGCAAATACACAGGAGAATATGGTGTGGTGTGTGTACTGTATGTTTGCACATGGGCAAGAGGTTGATACCTGTGCCATTGTGACTGTACACCAAGCAGGTGATGTTGGTTTTGGTTTCGCTAGAGACAAGATGGGATGGGCAGAATTTCTTCAACACCCCGTAATTGTCACTCTCATTGATCTTTCTCCGGTCATAGATCCTACAGGAGAAGGAACAGCTGTCAGTCAACCTGGCAGAGCAGTGAGGAATACCACCGTCATTTCATAATACAGCATATACCTCACGTGTTGTTGATGATTATTCTCAAACCTTGCGTAACAATGTTTTTATAGTCCTTGTTGAGCCAGATGCCAGATATATCCTCCTGAGACCCGACCTATTCATTTATGTCCATTGTAGTGGACATTGTATTTTTGCATTTATTTTTTCACTGATGTTGGGAAATGTATTTATTCTTGTTGTGCACTAAAGAGGACATGCTGTGAAATTAAAATAAGAATAAATTTGAAAAAATCTAAATTGTAAGATGTCTTATTTCCTCCAAAGACAAATAACCTACAATTGAAGGACAATTTTTTTCCTTGGGTCTCAGGAGGATATAGAAAAGAAAAAAGAAAACCAACAAATCCGCTGATAGATCTTACCTGACATACTGGTCTCTCCCACCCACAGCGAATTGGTGCACGTTGGCAGGGTTGACGAAAATGGTGTAGAGACCAATGTTCCTATTGCTGTCCTTCACCAACACTATTTTACTAATGGTGTGAAAAAGGAAATGTGACTAAGATACATAAAGATTTATTTAACTGATACATCCATCCACACAATGAGAGCTAGGTAGGGAATAACCTAGGATGGGGCACCAACCCATCACAGGCCACTGATACTATCCACACAGACACATTCACAGTTATGGACAATTTGGCAAAATCAACCTGCTTCAGCATGTTTTTGAACTGTGGGGGAAACCAGAGGAAATCCTATGAAGACACAGGAAGAACATAGAAACTATGCAGCCCTTGTCTCAAAAGGTGTGAGGAAACCATGCCACTGCAGCAACATGTTGCCCTTTTACCTACACAGCTAACGCTAAAGCTAGAAAAGGTGTTGCTGTGCAGCTCATTCTGCAAAACACACAGTTTTTGCATCTGTATATCTTGTGGAGCTGTACTGCACTGTGATGGTGCGTTTAGTAGGACTGAGTATCGTTTAGTAGCCGGCGATCGGTCCGCCAAAGCTCCGACCTTCGACTGCCACCTGATCGATATTGCACCTGACCCCCACGGCTCCCCCTGCTGGTGGTGGGCCCACAGGAGGGTGGACTCATGTTACTTTTTCAGGTTATGCCAGGCCGGGCACCATGGCATTTGCCCTTGAGCTCCTGCCCCAAGCCTGGCTCCAGGTCTCCCCAATCTGGGTGAGGTAACATGGTCCATTGTTTTATTTTCCTTCATGGGAGTTTTCTGAATCGCACTTAGTCTGGCCACTCTCCTAGGACCAATTTGCTTTGGGAGACCCTACCTGCCCCCGACGACATAGCTCCTAATATCACAGAGACACATAAACCCCTCCATAAGGTGGCGATTTTGCTGCAGAGTGTGAGGTGGTTGGAATGAGGATCAGCATCTCCAAGTCTGAGGCCAAGGTTCTCGACCGGAAAAGGATGGATTGCCCGTTCCTGGTGGGGGATGATTTACTGCCTCAAGTGGAGGAGTTCAAGTATCTCGGAGTGTTGTTCACGAGTGAGGGAAAAAGGAAGTAGGAGATCGACAGACGGCAGTACAGACACTGTACTGTTCTGTTTTGGTGAAGAGGGAGCTGAGCCAGAAGGCAAAGCTCTCAATTTACCGGTCGATCTAGTGTACGTTCCTGCCCTCAGCTATGGTCATGAGCTCTGGGTAGTGACAGAAAGAATGAGATAGTGGATACAAGTAGTAGCAATGACTCTCTCTGCTTACAAAGGAGCCAGTTGAGGTGGTTCAAGGCATCTATCTAGGATGCCTCCTGGACGGCTCCCTGGGGAGGTGTTTTAGGCATGACCAACTGGGATGAGGCCCCAGGGCAGACCCAGGATACGCTGAAGAGATTATATCTCTCGGCTGCCCTGGGAACGCCTTGGTATTCCCCGGTGGAGCTGGAGGAGGTGGCTGGGGAGAGGGAGGTCTGGGATCCCTGCTGAGACTGCTGCCCCTGTGACCCGACCCCAGGAAAGTGGCGGAAAAATCAATGGATGGATGGATGGATGGAAGGATGGAGTATGGTTTGGTTTTTCAAATACTGGAGCTAAACTGATACTTTTAAAAGAGTGCCAGTGCAAAAGCGGTGTCTAAAACAGTATTTAAAAAAAAACCGAAAGTCGACATTAAAGAATGGCTTTTTTCTTTCCAAGACAAATTTGAGCTTAAAATTGAACAACAGTACTATATTAACACATTAAATACAAAACACTTAATTTTACATAACATAACAAATAAAACCTATCTCAACTAAAATAATTTAAGGCTAAGCTACTTAATACCTTAAATATATGTAAACAAAACACTTAAATTTACATCACAGGGTGAGAATCCTTCTGAGTGAAATAAATGAAAAGCCACACTTTAGACCGTTTAGATTAAGGCATTTTAACCATGTTTAAGGTAGCTACCAGCTAACTGTAGCTGTCTGATGACATCAGAATAAGTGTAACATTAACTGCTGATGGCAAGTGAAGTTATTCTGTTATCTGAGCACCAGAAGGTAAATATTTCAGTTGACAGCTCAGGCGTTTAAGCGGCACCAAAATAAGGCACTGAAATCTGCGTTGCAGTATGGCCCAGTGCTTACCGATCATATAGGACCTTCAGTACTCAATCCCAGTGTTAAGATGAATTCATGTTTGTAGCAGGTGTGGCTGTGGTTTGTTGGGGAGGGACATGTGGCTGTAAGACACTGTGGTGCCGCACTGTGTGCAATCAGAATACTCACGTGGCGGGCCGGTCAAGCCGCAGGTCGATCCCGAACACGACCGCGTCCTCCCCGGCAGACAGAAAGGTGCAGGGGGAGTTAGGCTCCAGGGCCAGCTGGGGGGGGGGAGGGGACACAATCAGGTCCTCAGTCTCGGACAAATTCACTTAACAGCCACACAATGTATTTTTTTTTTTTCTTTTCAAAGTAACACTGACAAAGCACTGATTCTACAGCTTCTATACTGTATAGCTGCCTTGTGAAGAGAGATGCAAATTCAGGCACTCAGTCTACCTTATGGGCAGCCCCCTTGTGCTGGGCGACCCTCTTGGTGCCCTTGCAGCGCTGAGTGGCGGACAGCTCGGCCACTCTGATCTGGCCGTCCCGTGCACACATGGCCAGGCTGGAGTCTCCGCTGTGGGGCAGGAACTTTGCCTGGAAGAAAATCTCAGTCCCATCAATTTATACTTTCGCAGTTTAGACAGACACATCTATTTCTTGTTCAGTTGGTAGGAAATATATATACAGTGACAGAAAAAATTGAGAGACCACTATATTTTTAAACAAATTAGCATTTTTAAATCCTGGTTTAATCCTGGTTGTGCGGGTAGACAGCAACCAAATGATCCCCTCACCTGAAAAACGTTGCTCTTATGGCCGCTGTCAAACTCCAGCTGGACTCGGCGCCGGGCCCAGTCCCACAGCACCACGCGCAGGTCGTCGCTGCCGGAGGCCAGGCACGTGCCTGACGGGTTGAAGTGCAGAGTGTTGACGCAGCCCGTGTGCTGCTCCAGGCTGCCCTGCAGCTCCAGCCGCTGCACAAGCCCCCGCGCCCCACACGCCCTCCGCACAAACTGGGCCCCCCGCCCTATCTCCCGCTGACACAGGGATGACACTGCCCTCCAGGCAGGTGCTGCCAGGTCCCGCAGGTCCGCCGCCAGCCATGCCTCCACCTCTCGCTCATCCTCCTCCACCTCGTTCTCCTCCTCTGCCTCCTCCTCCTCCTCCTCATCTGAGCTGGAGGAGCTGTGGGTAGCCCTGCCTTCCGAAGGCTCCCGCTCCCTCCTCCTCTTCCTGCTCTCCCTCACTCGACCCTCTTCTCTCTCATCCATCCTCCTTTCCATTCCACTTTCCCCATCATCTTCTCCCTCCTCTGCTAGGCCATATGGTTCACTTTCCTCCATGCTGTCTCCATCCTCTTCCTCTTCCTCGGGACAAGGGCTGAGCACTGGATTGAGGAGCAAATGGAAGGGATAGGAGGAGGTGTAGACAAAATGAAACGAAAACAGCTTTGCCTTTGATTAGGGCTGCACTATATCACATCATGATATAAACGCGATATGTATGCATGCAGAGTAATCACCAAGGCTTTTGGCAACAGGTATAGAAATATGTCTGGATGCCGGATTTTCGGCACCATACGGACGTTTGCTTACATCCACAACTCGAAAGGCAGATTAGGAGTATGCCTTAAATAATAACGAGAGGTGTATTGTGATGCCCAAAAGTGAGTAATCTGTATAAATTCAGTGTATCCTTATGCGCATTAAATTTGGTTAGAGGAACATGCCACATGCTACTGCTTTGGTAAATCATAGAAGCAATATGCACTGAAGCAGCAGCGAAGAAAGGGACGGCTTAGCAACCATGACGTCTTTTAAAAGAGAAGATATTGTGGTAAAAAGACGTTGGTGGTGTGGTGGTACTTTTTTTGCAGTTTAAAGTCCAACACATTTATTAAACATAAGAATATGGAGAATTTATACAATTTCATCATCCAAAGACCAGGTGGTTGTTGCACAAGTACACATATTGCGATTATATCATGATGTGATATTGCGCAGCCCTATCTTACAAGTTTTTAAATAAACCCAAACAAGTGAAAATGATAAGGAGAGCACAGATGCATGTTGGGATACAAATATCATAAATGTACATTGCAGTTTTTAAAGTACAGCATTTTTGCAAATGCTTTCTGCTCAGACTGTTTTTTTACTGTTTACAAAAGCATTTATTACACTTTATGAAAATACATCTAATGAAAAGTGCTACCAGTACCGAGAGAAGGTAAGACACACACCTGTGTCGGACCCCGTCGTTCTCCCGTCCTGCTGGGACCCCCTCCCCTTTCTGGGATCGGAACTTTCCGAGCCTGGGCAGCACCGCAAAAAGAGAGCGAGAATGCTCGGTGGTAGGAAAGTCAAAGTGCAATGAGCAAGGATGAAAGAATCAGAAGGTATGGAACAAGCAGAAAGAGAAGGAACATTATAAAGGGAGACCTAAATTAGAAACCTAAATGTTAATGTTAACTACCAAACAGAAAGAAAAGAGGAATATAAATCCAACAACAGAGTTCATACTCCCTGTTGTGGCTGTATCCTCCAGAGCAATTCCAATGTTCTCACCAGTTAAGCGTGTGGAACTGTCCTCTTTGTTGGCCATCATGTCGGAGTATCTCCTTCCCTGCAACTATGCAAAGCAACCGCATTATTCATAAAAGCTAATATTAAACTATAGAAAATTATACAAGCTAATATTATTTATTTAATTATTTGTTTGTTAGTCTTGGGATTCCTATGCCTTACAAAGTTAAATGCCTGATGTATCACGTTCACATGTATTTAAATGCAAACGTGACTGATATTTGTCCTACCTCTGACTAGGGCAGAACTTACGTGAAATAATCAGTTGAAATACAGATTCTAACTTCAGGTATGTTGGGAGTTCTATCATCTATGCAAGGTCATCACCACACTTATTTTAATGGAATAATGCAGAATTCAGTAATAATGCAGTGGTTTTTATAATGAATTAGCCACTATAGCTTCATGACAATAAATAACTGAAATGGCAAATATAACCCAGTTCGCTCACATGCGGTAGTAGAATTACATCATTCAGAAGGATGTTTGCATAAACGCTAAAACCAGGCCCTATTAAAAAGTAGCAATAGCGGCTACAAACCTCCATCTTAACATTTACAAGGACAAGACAAACTCAACAACAACACGCCATACATGAATATAACAAAAAACCGAACGGGAAACCAAAGCTATAACCCACTATAAAACATCGACACCAAACTGCCTTCGCTGCCGCATGTTAACCAAATACACGGATATTAGTATCTAGCTAACATAACCAGCTCCTCTGACGTTTACCACCTAAAGAGAAGGAATTAGAAATTACGACGTGTCACCTATTTTAAATAAGACGATAATAAGCAGTTCGATACAAGTACCTAGTTTCTACTTCTGACGGACTCTTTGGAGCTGTCTTCTGCTACTTAAAACAGACGACATTGGCCCATTACGATCACAGCACCTAACAGAAGTAGGTGTCGAGCTCGGCCACCGTGCTCTGTTTATATTTTGATGGGTGTCAGTCGCATGTGTCATCTCGCGAGCAGCTTTTCGGTAGCCAATGAGCGCTATCCGGAAATAGAAGTGCGTGAGGACAAGGGGCTATGGGAGTTGTAGTTCATGTGATGTACCCTAAGCTTCCTGGAATACGCTGAACATGACCTTACGTACTGCAATAGTGTTTGTAGAGTGATGATGTACACGTATATGGATTATTCGGACTTTATTAAATAAATAAATGTCTGCATTAATAAATATGTAGTGAAATGTGGAAATAAAAAATGATTATATTGAAATGATATGAAATATGAACATAAATAAATACATCTTTTACGAAAATATTTTTATTGCCGTTTTTATTCAATTATTTAATTCTATATTGCTGTTTTTGTTTATTGATTTATCCATTTATTTAATTCAATGACGTAAAATAAGCCTTGAATATTAAGGTCTCCGTGATTGTCTGAGTGCTTCCAAGAGACCTACCTCTAGTGGCTGCAGTTTGGAGCAAAGGAGCTATGAACCAGAGATGAAACCACAAGTGGATATGAGGGGAAGTTATAATCCTTCTGTACATCTGAACTATGACACTAAAAGGCAAGCTTAAGTTACCATTGAACTACCTAGTCAATTCAATTAATAAAATTAAAAGAATTTTTGATTGTGTATGAATGTAGTGATTAGACAATTAGACAGTTCTTGGGTTTAAGATGGCTGTCAGAAGCTGAGTGCTTAATGCTGTTTATTCCAGAAATGAATGAAGAGAAGAGGGAGTAAACAGACAGTGTGTGGTGGGTGGGAGGCATTTTGCATTCTCAGAATTAAATTTTGGGCAAAACTGGTGATTCTTGACTCTAGATAAAGCCTGGCACATGCCATCAAAGAGGGCGACAGCCTAAAACTGTTGCAGTATTCCACAATGTATGAGGTTGTGATTGGATTTCAATGGCAGATTTTATTTTTATTTTATATATATTATTAGATGTGGGTCAATACCATTTTCATTTAATTTCATTTTTGATTGAAATTAAATAATTACTTTCATTGACTTCTAGTATAACACCAGCTCTTGTCATCTACAGAAGTTCTCCTCCATTTTAGGATACATCAACAATGCAGATGAGTCAGAGTACAGATGACTTGTTCAGGACTTTGCCTTGTGGAACAGGGAGAACAACCTGCAGCTCAACATCAGCAAGACAAAGGAGCTGATGGTGAACTTCCAGTGTAACAGGGAGCCCCTGAGACCAGTTACCATCCAGGGGGAGGAAGTGGAGGTGGTGCAGAGCTAAAAGCCCTGGAGGTCCACCTGAACAGAAGACTGGACTGGGCAGAGAACACAGCAGCTCTGTACAGGAAAGACCAGAGCAGATTCTACTTTCTGAGGAGACTCAGGTTTTTTAACATGTATGGCTGCTGTGTATGTTAATTCAGTCTATAGTGGCCAGTGTGCTTTTCTACACAGTGTCCTGCTGGAGATGTGCCATCAGATCAGGCAAAACCAGCCACCTGAACAGACTCATCAGGAAGGCCAGGATCATCAGAGGACTGACCCTGGACCCACTGGAGACGAGGGTCAGAGAAGAGGATGTTAGCGAAATTGAAAAATATCATGAACAATTCTGCCCATCTGCTTCAGGGGGCGCTATGCTGGTGCACATTGAGCCACCAGTTCATTGTAACACTGTGTGCTAAAGAACACTACTAGTGATTGTTCCTGCCATCAGGAACAATCTAAACCACAGTAGAACAATACAGTAATGCTTCCAGTGAACTCTGCTTGCATTGAAACTTTGCAAAGGCTGAAGTGTGCTGTCTATTTCTACTGATTGTGTGTTTGTCTGTGCCTGTACGTACCTGTACGTACCTGTACAGAATGTCACCACTTATTGCAGTACTCATGGTGTCCACCAGGTGGCATTCTAATCCTTATGATGAATTCACCCTTCATCAGAACTTATAATTCTTTTATCGATTTCATTTGTTAGATCTCATACTTGAGCCTCCCATGTTATGAAATACTGAGTCTTGATTAATTTTTATTATGTTTGAGTATGTCTGTGGTGGATTTTGGATTGAAATTTATTTCAATGTATTTACAGCTGATCAATACAACAAGGTGGTGTTGGAGGAAATAAGGAATTTAAGTCCAACTGTCCCAGTATGGTGATGGTATTTACAGGGATATGCAATATTTACTGTATGATACATGTATCAGTCATCAAATCTTCAGCTACAGTCAAGCATTTATTCTCCTTTGCTGGATTGATCAACAGGCCCCATTGACAACATCCATCCATCCATTTTCTGTAACCGCTTGTCCTGTTCAGGGTTGTAGGGTTTCTGGAACCTATCCCGGAGGCTATGGGCGCAAGGCAGGAAACAACCCAGCATGGGGCACTAGCCCATCGCAGGCCACACTCACACACCAGTCACTCACACATGCACACTTACCGGCAATTTGGTAACTCATCAGGAAGGCCAGCATGTTTCTGGGCAGTGGGGGGAAACCAGAGCACCTGGAGGAAACCCCACAATGACTGGTTGGGAATTCCTGATCTGTAGCATTCTCTATTTAGCCTTATTGGAGCATCACTAAATGTCTTTACTAGGCTGTGGATGTGTGTGTCTGTGTCCTCTAAGCCCACATTATGCATCTCTCAGTAGGGTCACTAGTTGGAGTTGGGTTCCATTGCTACTTTCAGAATACATTTCTGGGTGAGTCTAAAATCAAAACATATTGGGTCATTTTAAATTTGCTAAGTGCTAAAAGTGTTCATTTTCAACTTACAAATAGGTTTCTAATGGTTGAAAACTAAATAAATGATTGCTAAATGATTGTACCCCAGTTAAAGTATGATCATTTGTATTAACTAACACACAATTTATTATTATTGATTAATTAATTACTTAAACTAGTTTCTATGGATAAAGGTGCTATTAGTTGTCTGCTTATGAATGACTTCACCGAGTCAGTGTTACTGATGCAAAGAAGGGCCCTTCATCATCAAACACTATGTAACAAAATCAATATACAATTATGAATCATTAACAAACTATTACTTAAACATTAAACTGTTGGTTTCTTTAAAACTAATCTTCACCTGGTTTATCAAAGGGATATGTGAGGATCTGGGGAGTGACTGGCAGGTCAGAGTATTTGATCTGTTGACTGTTTGCATATGTTGGATTGACAGCACACCTCTTTAGGCAGAGAAAAGCTATTCCTCTTAAACACTGTCCACTTAATCAACTTAGTCAGTGTACTGGGGAAGGGATAGATCAAATAGACTGATATAAGGTTTGCAAAGTGGTTTCATGCTCCGTTACAGAAGTATTTTTGTCACGTCCGCAGATAAGGCACGACCCAAATGCAGGCTGTAGGTTGGTGAAAATCCATGCAGGGGAATTCATTGGTATGACAACACAGAATTTAAAGGCAATGACAGATAACAATGACCGGGATCACAGCACTGAGAGGCACTTAAAAAGAAGACTAACAAAGGGGAGAACAGGAGACAGCTGTGAGGGAAGGGAAATGAGCACCAGGCAATGCATGTTAAGTTAGTTAAGTTCTCCCCAAGTGAGCTCGATGGGCCGAATGGCCTCCTCTCGTTTGTATAGTTCTTATGTTCTTATGTTCTTATGTTTGGAACTCCGCCAGGAGGAAGACTGAAGCATCAGTTGGGCGGAGCGAGCAGAGTGTGACAATTTTTTAAATAAAAAAATATAGTTCATTTCGTTACATGCCATAGCTGCTGTATGTTATACCTTTTGATACACTTACAATTATGGTATTTGGTGTCTTATTTTTAAACACGTTTTGATGTATCATTGTGTGTGGAGTATTTTTCTAGATGGACTGATAAGCAAAGGGTAGTGTTAATTTCTATTAGGTCCTTGAAATTTATATATATATATTCTTAAGGTGTTTCAATATTTTGTTCAGATCCGGTACAATCTAGGTGATGTTTTAAACACGTTTGATTGCAGATATACTGTATATACGCTGTATGGTTGTGTGTTTTTACCCAGTAATGCATTTTGACCTTTGCCAATATAACGTTTCCACCAAAAGCAAAAGTAAAACGAAAGTTTTTTTTGACTTCCTGTCAATTTAACATGTGCGAGTGATTTATAATAAAGTTCGACTTTTTTTTATTGCTTGATATGTGTCCTTCTTTCGAGGCAGGACTTAATTTTGCTAAATTGAAAACACATCTGTGAATAGTGACACATCTGCAGGTAAGCAAGTCAGCATTGTTTAAATTTTTAAATTTGAAATTGTGTCATGGTCCTATTAGACCTACTTTTTCTATGGTTCAACCGTTGAAATATTTTCATATGATGAAAAATGGTGAGATAATAATGGTAAAAAATTATATTAAATCATGATAATTTTAATTCCTCTCATATAAGAGGATGATACTATGTTCTGTTACAAAGGATAATCTTAGGTAACTTCAAACCAAATAATTCATGTAAAACTACTGGGTACAGATGCGAAAGGGTTTCCCACCATGATACTGGTATGTGGTTGATCAGCAATTAGTACATTAATTTTTAAATATTTTTAAAGAAAATACTTAGACTTAGACTTATTTCTGTTGTAGGGGAGACCGAGGATAGTTTTTATATTTTTTACATTTTTGCCTGTACCTCAGAGCTTTTTAAAGAATCACATTCAAAATTTGATGCAAACTAGCTGCATGTGTCTTCTATTAAACGGCACAGGATTTATCTCTGTATCACAAACAGACAATGAATGGTTTAGACTCAAACACTTGGAGTGAAATGTTACAATTTACCCCATAGTCAGTGATAATTGTAACATAGCTCTGGAATAAATGTAATATTATAAATGATTCAAGATATAAGTTTTTCATATTTTTTTTGTTCAACAGCATTTGTGGGTATGTATGTATATATGTACAATATATATTAATCACAATTAAAATCAAAGATCATAATAAAACCAAAGAAAATGTGTAACTGTGTACCAGTTTTAATAAGTGAATAATAGTGTGTCGCAGGGGCATCATTAGGCCTATTTTAGCCCTGATAAATGTTTGTAAATCCCTCCCAAATAAATGTACACTAATTAGTTTAAATAATTTGGGTTATTTCCATCAGACCCACCCAATAAAGGCATAGCCCCCCTTTTCATAAATCTCTAGTGACGCTCCTGGTGTGAATGTCTGCCTGTTTTTGTGTGTGTGTGTGTGTGTGTGTGTGTGTGTGAGAGAGAGAGAGAGAGAGAGAGAGAGAGAGAGAGACTGTGGATTATGTTTGTATTACATTGTAGGGACCGGATGTCCCCCACAATGTGATAAAAGCCGTGTTTTTTGATGTTGTGGGGACCATTTTTCAGGTCTGCGAATGCAAATCAAAAAGTAAAAATTGTTTGGTTACTTATGGTTAAGGTTAGGGTTGGGAAGAGGTTAAAGTCATCATGTTGAGATTAGAGTTTTCCACATAGAAATGAATGGAGAGTCCCCACAAGATATAATTATAAATATATGTGTGTGTGTGTGAGATGTTATTCACCTTCAGAATCACCATGGTGACAGGGGTATTGAACTCCTCCTAGTGTACAGGTTTGATGGGCCCACCTTGGACAGACTATGCACCCATTTTTTTTTTGACTTTGAAATGTTCCACAGACACAATGCAGAAGTTCACTGGACTTGAGAAGTGCCCTGTTGTGTAGCTTGAGTAGTGGCCTGGTGGGAGTTGGAGAAATAGTGTTACAGCTATCCTAGACTGTGTTAGCTGTGAACAAGGATACCTTGTAGCTAAGAACAGCAATATTAGCACTCAGAACTTGTATAAAAAGTATTTGCATAGGTACATAATAAAAATTATTTAAGTTTTAATAATGTAAGTTCAAAGCTTGCAGTGCTATCACAAGAATGAATTAAGTAAAAAAATTACTTTCTTACCTCAAATTTCATTTTTCCTTACAAATCTGAGTGTGTTTGCTACAGGGTGTTTCTTCTTCACATTTGAAATAAAGACTAAACTGAGCATGTGCAGACTGAGTTATGTGTTTTATCCCTTGATCCTGATTTAAATAGACTTTGCTACCACTATCCCATGTTACAATCATCCCCAGTCTCCCCTAGAGCCTTTGTTGCATTATCATTTCCCCATTTTTCACAGATAAACCTGTATTTACCTGAATATACCTGGAGTCCAGCGATGAAGGACAAATGGTCTTCATGCTCTTGTTTCATACTCTTGCTATTCCAACATGCCAGTGTATCCAGACCAGGTACAGTAGATAATTTTCATATTCACCGACAAACTAAACTAAATAGTGTGTGTCTTATACAAATGGCTGTTTACTAACTAATGAAATGTGTTACTGTTGTATTACTGTTCTTTTCAGAAAAGTTTGAGCTTCTTCTTGGTCCATCAGACCCTGTTGTGGTTGTAGCTGGTGACGATGTGGTTCTGCCCTGTTTTCTCAAGCCCAGTATCAGTGCTGTAGACATGGAGGTCAGGTGGTTCAGAAAGGACTTCACAGAGTATGTGTATCTATACCAAAATGCTCAGACTATTACTACAAATCAGATCCCATCTTACAAGGAAAGGGCAGCGCTGTTCCCAGAAGAACTGACAAAAGGAAATGTTTCATTAAAGCTGACAGGAGTAAAAAGTTCAGATGGAGGCCGGTATAAATGCTTTGTTCAGTCTACAGAATCGCACGATGATTGGTCCATTGATGTAATTATCATGGGTATGTATGTATATTTTAAAAAGTATCAAAATATTTGTGTTTACCAGTAAAATGTATATATTTGGAATTTGTAACTTAAGAAAATATCATAAAAAGTATCTCTATCTCTAGGAACCAAGTCATTGATCTCCATTGAAAGATATAGAGATAGAGGAATCAGTTTTAAGTATGAACTTAAAACCTGGTATCCTGATGCTGAAGTTACCTGGTTGGATAGTGAAGGTCAAAATCTCACTGCTGAATATTCAGAGACACACAGAAGCACAGATGGTTCTCTCAGTCTGAGAGGACGTGTCATTGTACAGGAGAGACACCGTAACAGGTTCACCTCTCGAGTTCTGCAGAAGCAGCTTGGTCTACTGAGAGAGGAGGTCGTTGAAATACCTGGTGAGTTATATAATTCACAAGCATTTAAAGTTTGGCCCAGTATTTTGAACTTTTTAATTAGAACTTTTGCAACACACTAGTATTCCACAAGTTATGGTTTACTATCTTGCTCATGATTAATCATTAACTTTATTTTGTCCTGACAATCGAACAATTGATCTACCAGTAGGACTTCACAGTGCTTGTAACACACTGTAAGGTTGCTGTTTTGTTATGGACTGTAATATCTCGTGTGTTGAACTGTATTGGTCTCTGAGTCCTACACTCTGCCCATTGGTAGATGACCAGTGGCTTGTTTGTCCATAATACCCAGGTTGGTTGGTTTGCCCAGACACTGGATTTCTTAGTTGTTCAGGTAACCTCTCTGCTGAAAGGATCACTTTAGAATTTGTAGCCTTTTTCTGTGTATAATATACCTTCATGCACCATACCTACTAATGGTACATGTATATTAATTTAGCATAATGAAAATCTGTGTGGCCCCTGTCTCTTTGTGCTTTCTTGGTAAGTCAGTGGAGTTCAAATATACAGTTATACTGACATTTCAATAGGCACTTTTACACCAAAGTTCTGGGACATGGTCCCAGGTTACAAGTTCCTGGGCTGTCTGGACCTGGGACTTTTGTAGCTTCTGGCCACATTCAGGTCAACCATCCAAAATATTCACAAGGCTTGTCTCTTAATATTTTTTCAGCATTTTTTTGTGTCAACATGGAATGTCAAAATACTGTGGAGTATTTCAGATTCCTGAATGTCATCAAATTTTAGCCTCCTGCCTACAGCCGTGGCCAAAAGTTTTGCGAATGACACAAACATTAATTTTCACAAAGTCTGCTGCCTCAGTTTTTATGATAGCAGTTTACTTATACTCCAGAATGTTATCAAGAGTGATCAGATGAATTGCAATTCATCACTCTTTGCCCTGAAAATTAATTTAATCCCAAAAACACATTTCCACTGCATTTCAGCCCTGCCACAAAAAGACCTGCTGACATCATTTTAGGGATTCTCTCATTAACACAAGTGACAGTGTTGACGAGGACAAGGTTGGAGATCACTCTGTCATTCTGATTGAGTTAGAATAGCAGACTGGATGCTTTAAAAGGACGGTGATGCTTGAAATCATTGTTCTTCCTCTGTTCACCCTTGGTTACCTGCAAGGAAACACACGCAGTCATCATTGCTTTGCACAAAAAGGGCTTCACAGGCAAGGATATTGCTGCTATTAAGATAACACCTAAATCAACCATTTATCGGATCATCAAGAACTTCAAGGAGAGAGGTTCAATTGTTGTGAAGAAGGCATCAGGGCATCCATGAAAGTCCAGCAAGTGTCAGGACCGTCTCCTAAAGTTGATTCAGCTGCAGGATCACGGCATCACCAGTGCAGAGCTCGCTCAGGAATGGCAGCAGGCAGGTGTGAGTGCATCTGCACACACAGTGTGGCGCACACTTTGGGAGGATGGCCTGGTGTCAGGAAGGGCAGCAAAGAAGCCACTTCTCTCCAAGAAAAACATCAAGGACAGACTAATATTCTGCAAAAGGTACAGGGATTGGACTGCTGAGGACTGGGGTAAAGTCATATTCTCTGATAAATCCCCTTTCCGATTGTTTTGGGCATCTGGAAAAAAGATTGTCAGGAGAAGAAAAGGTGAGTGTTACCATCAGTCCTGTGTCATGCCAACAGTAAAGCATCCTGAGACCATCCATATGTGGGGTTGCTTCACAGCCAAGGGAGTGGACTCACTCACCAATTTTGCCTAAGAACACAGCCATGAATAAAGAGCAACTTCTCCCAATCATCCAAAAACAGTTTGGTAACAAATGATGCCTTGTCCTGCATGATGGAGCCATTAGGCAAAAGTGATAACTAAATGGCTCAGGGAACAATACATCGACATTTTGGGTCCCATTGAGAACTTGTAGTCAATCGTGAAGAGGCGGGTGGACAAACAAAAACCCAGAAAGTCTCATAAACTCAGAAGTTGACTGACAGCATGCCAGGGCAAACTGCAGAGGTCCTGAAAAAGAAGGGCCAACACTGTAGATATTGTCATTTTGCATAAACTTAATGTAATAGTCAAATAAAGCTTTTGACACTTATGAAATGCTTTTAATTATACTTCAGTATACCATAGAAACATCTGACAAAAAGATCTACAAACACTGAAGCAGCAAACTTTGTGAAAACCAATACTTGTCTTTCTCAAAACTTTTGGCCATGGCTATATATGAAGAAAGGTTGTAAAGGTCAAGCAGAGATAGGATGATATATGCAGTGATGCATGAAAATACTGAAAGATATTTAAGATTTCTGACCGTTATTTGTTTGGAGGGTCTGGCTAAAATAAGATAGACTTTGATTCAAGGGGGAAACCTGTTAATTATCCTATGGATGGTTGAAAAGCCATCCTACTAAATGAAATGAAATCATTTGCTTGACTGACTCATGAATCCTGTCTTAGTTGTCTATCTGTTCTGCTTTTCTCAGCTCAGTACTATGCTTTGATTGTCCTATACACTGCATGCACTTTGAAAACTTACATTAGGATTCTCACTAAAACCGTCTATAACAAAGAGTTTGTATCAAGGATGTCCGTAGTAGAAGAACAAACCTCGAATGGAGGAACATCATAGCTTCTACATTAAATCATGTTCTATGTCCTACAACAATCACCTCTGACTAACATCTCTGTCCTTCAACAGCTCAGCTCCTGGAAATGGATGGTAGGTGCTGTACGTGTCTTTGTGTCTGTATGTGTCTGTATACAGTATATGTGGATATTTCAGTACAGGCTTTACAATTATAGCCTCATGCCAAAGGCGTAGATTTGGGTATAGACTGCAGGGACACGCCCCTACCAATACTGCAGGAGTATGCAGAAATCTTGTCTTGTTGATATTTTGTCAGCTTTCTTTCCAACAACATGAAACATCAAATATGGAATCTGAACTTTTCTTTTAATGTATGTAGAATATTTTATCACCAAATTTTTCAAAGTTGATAAGCAGGTAAACCTACACCAGCAGTAACAATTTAAAACAATAAAAATCCTTCTTTCTAAAGTGTAGGTTTTATTACAGCTCTGGGAAATGTATCAGATCATACTGTCATGGCATGGTGCGGGCAGGAAGGGACTGACCATCTACTGCAGCACCAAGAAAACAATGGATTTATTAACAAAATAAATCACACTACAAAACCAAAAGAATCACGAGGGGTCATGAACAAATATTGTCTCTTTGCATAAACGTAATGTAATAGTTAATAAAAGCTTTTGACACTTATGAAATGCTTGTAATTATACTTCAGTATACCATAGAAACATCTGACAAAAAGATCTACAAACACTGAAGCAGCAAACTTTGTGAAAGCCAATACTTGTGTCTTTCTCAAAACATTTGGCCATGACTGTATATGAAGAAAGGTTGTAAAGGTCAAGCAGAGATAGGATGATATATGCACTGATGTACGAAAATACTGAAAGATATTTAAGATTTCTGACTGTTATTTGTTTGCAGGGTCTGGCTAAGATAAGATAGACTTTGATTCAAGGTGGAAATCTGTTAATTATTCTATGGATGGTTGAAAAGCCATCCTACTAAATGTCTTGAAATCATTTGCTTGAATGACTCATGAATCCTGTCTTAGTTGTCTATCTGTTCTGCTTTTCTCAGCTCAGTACTATGCTTTGATTGTCCTATACACTGCATGCACTTTGAAAACTTACATTAGGATTCTCACTAAAACCTTCTTTAACAAAGAGTTTGTATCAATGATGGCTGTAGTATAAGAACAAACTTCAAATGGAGGAACATCAAAGCTGCTACAGTAAATCATGTTCTATGTCCTACAACAATCACCTCTGACTAACATCTCTGTCCTTCAACAGCTCACCTCCTGGAAATGGACGGTAGGTTCTGTATGTGTCTTTGTATCTGTATGTGTCTGTATATATGTGGATATTTCAGTACAGGCTTTACAATTATAGCCTCATGCCAAAGGCGTAGAGTTGGGTATAGACTGCAGGGACACGCCCCTACCAATACTGCAGGAGTATGCAGAAATCTTGTCTTGTTGATATATTGTCAGCTTTCTTTCCAACAACATGAAACATCAAATATGGAATCTGAACTTTTCTTTTAATGCATGTAGAATTTTTTATCACCACATAAGAACAAAACACGAATGGAGGAACATCATAGCTGCTACATTAAATCATGTTCTATGTCCTACAACAATCACCTCTGACTAACATCTCTGTCCTTCAACAGCTCAGCTCTGGGAAACAGACGGTAGGTTCTGTATGTGTCTTTGTGTCTGCATGTGTCTGTATGTATGTGTATCTTTCAGCGCAGTTGATAAGCATGTAAACCTGCACCAGCAGTAACAATTTAAAATGGAATAATTAAAATCATCCTTCATTCGATAGGGAAGACTAGGAACATAAGGCTACACAAAACAGAAAACCATGTACAGCAGGGTAAATCAAAAGCGAGGACAAAACGCAAAGACAAACACACACAATACCAAAGAGGAAAAACTGATAAGACATACATAACAGATGAGGCTGGCCTCTGGGCTTAGAACTAAGACAGAGGAGGGAACAGGATGGTCAGCAACACCTGCTGGCTAAATGAGGACAGAACACCTACAGTAGTACAGAGATGGACTTTATGACAGAGAGGGGGAAAGACGGAATGACCAGCAATGCCTGCTGGCCGAGCAGGGCCAGGTCACAGAGGATGGGGTCAGATGGGGACAACCCTGACACGTACATAATGTACACAATGGAAAAAATAACTTCTTTTGATGTATAAATCTTCAAGGACAAAAGTTAGGTCAAGGTTGACAGTCGTAGAATATTTTATCAGCACATTTTGATAGTTGATAGTTGAAGCGTGTAAACCTACTCCAGCAGTAACAATTTAAAACAAAACAATTAAAATCATTCTTTCTACAGTGTAGGTTTTATTACAGCTCTGAGAAATGTATCAAATCACACATGATGTAAAAAACACACACTGGAACACAACAGGAAAAAAGTACATTTTGCATGTATAAATCTTCAAGTACAAAAGATAGATAAATGTAAAGGTTTTTTTTTTTTTTTACAGAATCCAATTTTCTATGATGTTGTTCTGTGAAGTATATTAAGAGTAAAGGTGCTCAAGCTGACTTTGGCATTTTGTGTTCATTACACCAGTTGTTGGGCTAAATTTCTTGTTATCCAATTAACACACCATGGGTCATCAAATTTTATGGGAGGGGGGTGTGGCTGGGACAGTGGTGTAGTGGTTAGCACTGTTTCCTCATGCCTCTGGGACCTGAGCTCCATGTGTGTGGAGTTTGATGTTCTCCCTGTGTCATCATGGAGTTTCCCCTGGGTACTTCAGTGCCACCCTGCCCCCCAAGCCCTAAACATGCTAAGGCCAATTGGATTTACCCAATTATCCATACACAGTAGGTGTGTGTGTGACTGTGCCCTGCAATGGGTTTGCGCCCCATACTGGGTTGTTCCTAGCCTTGTGCCCACAGGCTCCAGACCCCTCACAACCTTGACTAGGCCAAGCAGTTACAGAAGATGCTACAATAAATCGTGTTCTATGTGCCACAACAATCATCTCTGACTAACATGTTTATTCTTCAACAGATCAGTTGCGGAAAACACGAGGTAAGTTGTGTATACACTACTTGTACTGATTTCTCAGTTGTATGTTCCTAAAAACTGGCCTGAATAATCACTTATGTACCAATCAACAAGCTAGAGGATAAATTGATTGCTTGTTTACACCTGTTTTCATTAACCTCATTGCATTGTTAACAATCATACAGTCTCGAAGCTATTAGGGGTCGAATACTTATTCAACAGCAGATTTCAATAATATGTTCTTTATCGTTATTGCGTAATTTGATTTTCAGGATTTTTTTGTGAAAATTTATTGTCCAAGAAGACCTCATTTATATGTAACAGTATGAAACTAAAGATGCAATTTCAAAGAAAAATATTACAGGAAATTTAAAATTTGTCTAGGAGATCGAATACTTCTTCAACCCACTGTTACTCTCCTGTTAGGGAGCTATGACTCCAATTACCTAGCAGGTAGTTTAACTTAATAAATTTGTTGTAAACACTTATTTGACTCTTATGCATGTGTTACTTATTAGTGATGTGTCTTGTGCATACGTGGATGGCTGTAGTAGAAAAGGAGAACTGGATAGAGGAACATCAAAGTTACTACAGTAAATCATGTTATAAACCTTACAACAACCTCCTCTGTGTTGTCCAACAGCTCAGCTCCTAGACATACAAGGTAGGTTCTATATGTCAGTGTGTATGTATGTGGACCTATCAGCACTGCAGGCCATGATCATAAAGACTATTGTTGAGGTTTTAACTTTACATAAAATTTGGCTAAAAACTTTCAGACTCAAATCCTCCCAACCTCACCCAGTTTATGTTACCAAACAATTAATGTGTTAAGTTTATTAGAGTGTGTATATACAGTATAGACCTATGGCCTCATATATATATATTATAAATTAAAAATTAATTTTTTTATATTTACAAAATCCAATTTTATTTGTCTTTTTGTGAAATTTCTTTAAACCTCGAAGCTACTAAAGTAAATCATGTTGAATACGCTACAACAATCCCCACTGTCTAACATCTCTTTTCTTCAACAGATCACCTCCCAAAAATACTAGGTAGGTTCTGTATGTGTGTGTATTTATGATGTGTAATGATGGGGATTCTGAGAAATGTGTCATTTGGCCATTTCATCATTATACAGACATCATAGAGTGTACTTGCAGAAACATCGATGGTATAGCCTGCTACACACTTACTGCAGCTCTGGAAAATGTTTAATAAATATTTGAGAATTAAATACAAGGGGGAAAAAAGATAAATACTGAGCTGGAATGTACAGAATGCAGCCCTGATACTATATATGTTATGCCTGCTAACATGTGCGATACAGGATTTAGAAATAGATACTAATGTAACAATGGAACATTTCATGAATTCAAATTTCAGTAGCTACAGACGCTTTATTTATGGTGAGGAATTAGACCAATGAGAGGGCCTCTATGAGCCGTAATATCTCCACTTCCACTAACCTAATCTATTCTTGTAACTTAAATTGATTGTTTTTTATGTAGATGATAAAGTAACAGTATTTCAGGTAATATATTATTGATGCTGCATGTTTTCTTATAAACTCCCCACGGTGCTAGATTGTTCTTTGCGCTTTTCTGTAGTAAAGTTCCATTTCCTACTGCAATGGGGCTCCGAGTACTGATGGGATGAGGTGCTCTGCCCCATAAATCCCTCCTCTCTTAAAATTAACAGCATTTCCTATTCCCCCTTTCAGATATATGCTAATTGTATTTCCAATTCACACATCATTGAATTGAAAATGATTGCGTACTTTCACACCAAAGGAACATTTTTACTATATTTACTATATTAACTAACATTTAGTATTTGATTTATTTTTTTTAATCAATGGCTTTATACATACCAGTATTTATATTGCAGACAATCCAAGTTAGTGGTGTATGTACTGAAAAGTCAGTATATACTGTAGACAGCAACACGTGTTCACCCACATGAACAGTTACTGTAATAGGTGTAAAAATGGCCGTGTTTGTCACATGCAGTATCATCATGGTATACAGTATATAGCTTTGTTAGAGGACATTGTGCAAGGCCAAATACGAAGGGAAAGAGTAGTGAGGGATCGCATCAATTGCTTGCCAATAAAGATTTGTAGCTTCTTAAATGTACACTTGAGCGAATGTTTTTATGAGAAATAGGATTTTTGGGGCAGCATTTGGCTCAGTGGGTTAAGCCTCTGTACTTGTGAACAAAACAAAATGTCCTGGTTCCTCAATAAGGTTCTGGTTCTTAGCAAGAGTTCCAGCAGTGTGAAAGTGCCCCTTGTTATGTACTTTTGTTATATACTTTTAATAGTTAATTAGTTTTAATTTACTTTTATTTCGCAGTCAGTATGTGATTCAAATACTGTGTTACTGTCCTCTCTTTTATAAGTATATCTGATATGTTAAATATTGCATACCTTAACCATCTCATTGGTCACTCTATGCTGTTTTTCTCCACAGACTTTGAAGAAAACCGAAAAAATGCAGGTGAAGCTATTGGTTTTTCACTCAGATCAGGCATTTTCCACAGTGAAGCTCAAATGTATGAAACTGGTGGAGAATTCATGTAAAGATATTAGCTGTCTGTCTGATGGATGCAACAACACCACCATGATCGCTGATAATCCTACAGCTCTCAAGGGCATACATGCTAAAAGAATGTGTCATTTTGTGTCATAATCAACACTTGCTTGTGGCTTCCAGAGTTAATATAGTCTTTGCAATAATTTATGTTCTGTGTTTGGGTCAAAGAACTCTATTGGACTTTTCATAGTAATGATATTATTCTCCAGCAATCAGGGGTGCGTTTCCCAAAAGCTGCTGTTAACAATTTGCATAGTTAGACCCGTTCAGTTGCATGGCTCCACCTATGTAAGTTGCTGAAGTAATTAACAGCTATGATTTTTGGAAATGCACTCCATATTGATTTTATTGCTTGTCAGTGAATAACTTTAGTTTAATTAATTACAAACCCATAGCACTGTATTTACATTCATCATGAAATCAATCACTGTACCAATCTGTTAACGGGAGAAATACTTTTTTGCACAACACACACAATTTCCCTGTCCTTTTTTCCTGAACAGTTGATGTCACCCTAGATCCTGACCAACCTGAGGTGATCATCTCTGAGGATGGGAAAGAAGTCACATGTAGAGACAATAAGCAGAATCACTCCAGCAACCTACAGAGATTGGATGACTTCTGCTTTTATGACTTATGGCTTGATTTAAACCGGTTAGGTGTTCTGGGGAAGGAGGGGTTTACCTCAGGTAGACATTACTGGGAGGTGATGGTTGGGAAGAAGACTGAATGGGCATTAGGGGTTGTAGCGGTCACAAATGGGAAGAAATTTGAATTTTCCTGGGGTATAGGCTTGAGTAAAGGTAGTTATCAGACTTTCGGTAAACACTGCATTAACCTCTATGTGGAAGAAAAACCTGAGAAGGTGGGGATATTTGTGGATTATGGAGAGGGGCAAGTCTCCTTTTACAATGTGGGGGCAAAGTCTTATATTTACTCTTTCTTTGAGTTGAAATTCAAAAAGGAGATCTATCCATTTTTCATACCCTCATTCCAGTGGGATGAGGACAATTCAGCCCCACTGATCATAACTCCTGTTCACGACAATGAATGATTTTTGTTTCCTGCTTATTTTCCAGAGTTCCGATTTAGGCAAAGTATATTTCAGTTGCTCAGTTTCTATTTAGTGCAGTAAGTGTAGATAAAATCATCGTGCCATGAAAAATAAATGGTGAGCATGGAGTTCAGTGGGTTAAATGTGTTCTCTCACAGTTCCTGAATAATCGATGCATTTAGAATGTGGTTAGAGATATTAATATGTACATTACTGAAGACACTAGATCAGACCTGGGCATTTTACGGCCCGCTGACTACCCTTAACCAGCCCGCGTGAGTTCGTAGTAAAAGTGTAGGGACACCTACTACTTTGTGATAGGTGCACGAAGTACAATTACACGGCTTTTATTTCGAAGACAACTATTGGGTGCGTTCGACTTGGGGTGCGTTCGACTTCATGCAGCCTGTGACGGCCCGAACTGCGATCCTGACCTGATCTGCGAACGCATGCACACACTGGTTTTCCGTGAAAGTCACTATTTGATCTGTACACTGCTAACAATGATTCTTGCAGGGAACATTGCAAACTTAATAGACATATGTTAAAAATACTTAAAGTGAGGAGTAATGCAAAAACTGGCAACCAGTATCCATCTTTAAAAAGAAACTAAACAAAAACATTTCAATAGGACAAAATATTTCTTCCCCTGGTACTTCATTGACAAACTCTTTTCCTTGGTCTGTTATGATATTACTGACAAGACCAAATGTGTACAGCTTTCCGATTATAGCCGCAGAAACTTTTATTTTATTTATTGCGTCTTGCAGTTTCACAAAGTGGGCCAATGAGGTCCAAGCCCAGAACTGTCCAGGCTTCTTTAACATGTTGAAATATTATTTATTAGTCATATGAATAAACTAGTGTGCGCATGCGTTCGCAGATCGGGCCAGGATTGCAGTTTGGGCAGCCACACGCACCATTAATAGGCCAAATGACAGCAACAGGAAACAGCTGGTAAACACTGGGAATCCACACATGGTTAACGAGGGGGCGTGGCACACAGAAGGAGCGTACGATTGGGGTAGGACAGATGTGCATATATATGGAGGGATTATTCGGACTTTATTGAAAAAATAAATATGTGGATGGATAATTAAATATATAGTGAAATATGGAAATAAAAAATGGTTATATTGAAATTATATGAAATATGAGCATAAATAAATCTGTTTCGAAAAATTTTTTTTATTCAGTTATTTAATCATTTATTTCTGTTTTTTTATTGATTTATCCATTTATTTAATTCAATGATGCCGCACATGAAATAAACCTTGAATACTAAGGTCTCCATGATTGTCTGAGTACTTCCAAGGGACCTGCCTCTAGTGGCTGCAGTTTGGAGTAATGGAGCAATGAACCAGAGATGAAACCACAAGTGCAAGGGGAATTTATATTCCCTCCGTACATGTGAACTATGACACTAAAAAGTTCAACTTGAGTTACCATTGAATTATCTAGTCAATTCAAGAAATGTGTGAATGTAATGATTAAGAGCAGCTCAGAGCATGCTAAATTCACACAGTTCTTGGGTTAAAGATGGCTGTCAGAAGCTGATTGCTTAATGCCGTTTATTCCAGAGATGGATGAAGAGGAGAGTAAGTAGGGCAGTGTGTGGTGGGTGGCTGGATTTTGCATTGTCAAAATTGAATTTTGGTGATTCTAGACTCTAGTAAAGCCCGACACATGCCATCGAAGAGGGTGACAGCCTAAACCTGTTGCAATATTCCACAATGTATGAGGTTGTGATTGGGTTTCAATGGCAGATTGTTTTTTTTATATATATTATTAGATGCGGGTTAATACCATTTTCATTTAATATCATTTTTGATTTTACTTTCATTGACTTCCATTACAAGACCAGCTCTTGCCATCTACTGAAGTTCTCCTCCATTTTAGGATACATCAGCAATGGAGATTAGTCAGAGTACAGAGAACTAGTAGAGGACTTTGCCTTGTGGAACAAGGAGAACAACCTGCAGCTCAACATCAGAAAGACAAAGCTGACGGTGAACTTCCAGTGTAACAGGGAGCCCCTGAGATCAGTCACCATCCATGGGGAGGAAGTGGAGGTGATGCAGGGGTAGAAGACCTGGGGGGCCACCTGAACAGCAGACTGGACTGGGCAGAGAACACAGCAGCTCTGTACAGGAAAGACCAGAGCAGACTCTACTTCCTGAGGAGACTCAGGTTTTTTAACATGTGTGGCTGCTGTGTTTAATCGGTCTATAGTGGCCAGTGTGCTTTTATACACAATGTCCTGCTGGGGACGTGCCATAAGATCAGGCAAAATCAAACACCTAAACAGACTCATCAGGAAGGCCAGGTTCATCAGAGGACTGACCCTGGACCCACTGGAGGCATTGGTCAGAGAAGAGGATGTTAGCGAAACTGGCCAATATCATGAACAATTCTGCCCATCTGCTTCAGGAGGCGCTGTCCTGGAGCACATATAGCCACCAGTTCATTGTAACACTGTGTGCTAAAGAACACAACTGGTGATTGTTCCTGCCATCAGACACCACAATGCCTCCTCCTGACCTGCCTCTCCCCACGCAGAACCATAATACGTCAGGAAGAATCCTGTGTTACAATACAATCTAGTGCCTTCTGTTATAACTGCAAATAATAATTATCTTTGAATATCAATTTTTATTATCATATTCTGTTTTTCAAAATATTTCATTCATTTGTTTGCCATGTACTTTTAAAAATCTGTTTGCACTATGTTTACCTTAGTTTGCACTATGTGTACTGTGTTTGTACCTTGTCTGTTTGGCACGATATGTATCTTTATCTCTGCACTATGTTCCTCCTGCTGATTGCACCAGAATTTCCCCTTGGGATAAATAAATTTAATACACATAATTAGCCCAACAACAAGCAGCAGTGCTCCCAGCAAAACAAGCTCTGCTAAAACCACATTCAGCTGTAAGTAGAGCAATACAGTAATGCTTCCGGTGAACTTTGCTTGCACTGAAACTTTGCAAAGGCTGAAGTGTGCTGTCTATTTCTGCTGATTGTGTGTTTGTCTGTGCTTGTGCGTACAGAATGTCACTACTTATTGCAGTACTCGTAGTGTCCACCAGGTGGGAGTATAATCCTTATGATGAATTCACCCTTCATCAAAACTAATTATTCTTTTATCGATTTCATCTGTTAGATCTCCTCCCATGTTATGAAATACTGGGTCTTGATTAATTTTTATTGTGTTTGAGTATGTCTGTGGTGGATTTTGGATTGAAATTTATTTCAATTTATTTACAGCTGATCAGTACAAGAAGGTGGTGTTGGAGGAAATAAGGAATTTAAGTCCAACTGTCCCAGTATGGTGATGGTATTTACAGGGATGTGCAATATTTATCCTCCTGAGTCCTGGGCTTTTGTTTGATGTGCATATTTTATTTCCTTTAGCTATTTGGGATTAGTAGGACCTCATAATCATAAAAACCAAACATTATTTTTTTGAACAATTAATAGTTTTAAACTAAAAATGATGTCCTTATATGAGGATGTAGGGTCTCAGGAGGTTAAGATACATGTGTGTAAAATACCTAGTTCAAATATAAAACAGGATTTTGTAATTTGTATCTGATAGGGATGATGAAAATGACTTCATACCTCGTATCAATATACTTTAGCTTTAGTATCTTTGTGGTTTAAAAATGCTGTAATATATTTTGTGTCAGATGTCTAAGTGATGATGCCTGGATTGTTAAAAATGCAAAATGATGCATGCAGCCTCTAAATGGTGCCCACTCCAACAAGGTAGTTGCTTCTATCTATATCTATATACTGTATATATATATATATATATATATATCTATATCTACAGACAACGTAAAAAGTATGTGAATCCATTGGACTTGTCTGGTTTTCTGCATGAATTGGTCATAAAAAGTGATCTGATCTTCATCTAAGGCTACGTTCACACTGCCAGCCACATCGTTCAATTCCGATTTTTTGCTCAGATCGGATTTGTCTATCTTGACAAGTGACCTGTACCTCACTGTAATGTGAACATCCTACGAAACGTCACTCATGCGCATATTGATACATTTTTACACGGGTCAACTGCGTCACCAACAACAAAAAAACATCATATCTGTTTGATGACCTATGGCATTAAAAATTGAGCCATTAGTAGCTCATGCATGTATCGCACTTTGCTCTGGAGGACGACAAACAGTGAATCAGCTGTACATGAGCAGGTCGAAAAGGAGAAAAAAAAGTCAGGCGGCTAGCTTTTCTGTTTTCGCAGTTATTGCTGGAACTGCAGCACCAAGAGAAGTGTGGGTAATGTCAGCGTATGCGTATAAGCAAAAAGCCACATGAATTCCGATCTGAGCGTTTACACTCAGGTCGCATGGCCGCGAATCGGATACGTATGAGATTTAGTCCCACATATGAAAGTGACACAAATCTGATTTGAAAAGATCAGATTTGTGTGTCCACACAGCCCTGAAAAGATCAGATCTGTGTCACATTAAGGCAAAAAATCCGATTTGAGTCACTTCAGCATGGCAGTGTGAACGTAGCCTAAGTCACAGGTACTGATATACACAATGAGCTTAAGCCAATAATACACAAAAAATTTTACTCTCATGGGAATTTTAGCCCATTCTTCCCTGCAGAACGGCCTTAACTCTTCCATAAACTTTGGTTGTCTTCTGTGTATGGCTCTCTGCAAGTCATTCCACAGCATCTGAACAGGACAGAGATCTGGGCTGAAACACAAAATACACACAGCGAACAGCAAGAAACTAAATAAAAAGCAGTAGAAACAAAAATATTTAAAAAGTAAAATGGAAGGATGGACAAACGAGGAAACACAGGCTTTAATTGCCGGATGAACATATCCAGCGGGATTTGGATGACACGACTCGAAGTAAAAAAGTATTTGCTGTAATAGCAAGCCGCTTAGAAGAAATGGGGCACATGCAAAACACCGAACAATGGCGCTTGAAAATCAAAAAACTTAAGCAGGACTACAGGAAAGTGAAGGATCATAATAACATGTTTTAATTCAGCGAAAGAAATACCGCGCCACGCTTTGTGATGATGTCAGTCAGGGGCGATCACTGATGATGTCATTTGATTTTACGCCAAATGAAGTTCTGCTTGTTCCTCCCAAATAGTTCAATTTTGGTTTCATCACTCCAGAAAACATTTTCCCAGTACCATTGTGAAGTGTCCAAGTGCTCTATTGCAAACTTCAGGTATGCAGCAATGTTCTCTTTGACAGCAGTGTCTTCCTCCTTGGTGTCCTGCCATGGACTCCTTTCTTGTTCAGTGTGTTGCGTTTGTTGAATCATGAACAGAGATGTTACCCGGTTCAAATGACTTCCTCATGTCATTCGCTGTCACTCTAGGGTTCTTCTTTACCTCATTGATGACTTTACAATGTGCTCTTGGGGTCGTCTTGGTAGGGCACCCACTTCTAGGCAGAGTAGTCACAATACCAAATTGTCTCCATTTATAGACAACTTGCCTAACAGTAGACTGATGAATATCTAAAATATCTGAGATGACTTCGTAACCCTTTCCAGCCTTATGTAAATTAACAATTCTTGATCGTAGCTCTTTTGTGAGGCATGATTCCCATCTGGATATGCTTCTTTTCAAAAACTCAGACTCAAACTTTTCAGTATTTTTCATCAATCAAAGTAATTCTAGGCCACACCTCTGACCTCTTTTCATTAAATGGACTCCAGGTTTGCTAAATTCTGACTGCAATGAGCTTTTTAAAAAGTCATTAGCTTAGGGTTCACTTACTTTTTCCAACCTTCAGTTTCACAGTTTGAATGAATTATTTAATATGATCAAAAATTCTCTGAAAATATGTGTATGCTTAGTTATAAGTGACTGTGTTTGTTCATTATTGTGACTTGCATGGAGAGATGACCATGTTTTATATGGGAATTACACATGAATATAGTAAATTCCAACAGGTTCACAAACTTTTTACTTTGACTGTACAGTATACTGTATATTCTATCCACATCTATATCTAGTAGGCAAGTCTTTCAATTCAGTTGAAAAATCACTCCTATTCATTACACAAGGATTACATCCAGGATAAGTTGTTTATACTGTACTTAAAATCATCTAAAGTAGCACTTAGCACAGTCATCAAATCTTCAGCTACAGTCAAGCATTTATTCTCCTCTGCTGGATTGATCAACAGGCCCCATTGACAACATCCATCCATCCATTTTCTGTAACCGCTTGTCCTGTTCGGGGTTGCAGGGTTTCTGGAACCTTTCCCGGAGGCTATGGGCGCAAGGCAGGAAACAACCCAGCATGGGGCACTAACCCATCGCAGGCCACACTCACACACCAGTCACTCACACATGCACACTTACGGGCAATTTGGTAACTCATCAGGAAGGCCAGCATGTTTCTGGGCAGTGGGGGGAAACCAGAGCACCTGGAGGAAACCCCACAATGACTGTTTGGGAGTTCCTGATCTGTAGCATACTCTATTTAGCCTTATTGGAGCATCACTAAATGTCTTTACTAGGCTGTGGATGTGTGTGTCTGTGTCCTCTAAGCCCACATTATGCATCTCTCAGTAGGGTCACTAGTTGGAGTTGGGTTCCGTTGCTACTTTCAGAATACATTTCTGGGTATGTCTAAAATCAAAACATATCGATCATTTAAAATTTGCTAAGCGCTAAAATGTTCATTTTTCAACTTACAAATAGGTTTCTAATGGTTGATAACTAAATAATTGATTGCTAAATGATTGTACCCCAGTTAAAGTATGATAATGAATTTGTATACCATTAACTAGCACACAATTTATTATTATTAATATCAAATGATTAATAAATTACTTAAACTAGTTGCTAAAAAAAAAAAAAAGGATACTGTTATGATATGATATTCTCTAAATCGAACACGTGCAATTACATTTATAACAATACATTTAACAAAATAAACATTTATTTAAAAATAAAACAAAACAAAAAAAACTAGTTGCTATGGATAAAGGTGCTATCAGTTGTCTGCTTTTAGTGTTAGTGTTGCTGATGCAAAGTAGGCCCTTCATCATCAATGTAACAAAATTAATATACAATTATGGATCATTAAACTGTTAATTAAACTGTTGGTTACTTTAAAACTAACCTTTATCTTGTTGATCAGAAGGATATATGGGTCGGTGTTGGGGTGGTGCGGGTGTGGTGGGGGGCGAGTGTTTGGTGAATGTGGGTATCTGGGTATGAATGGCTCGTCGGCGATGCCGGCGCAGATGAGGCCCCAGACACCTCCTTGGGTGGGGGCGGGGGGGGGCTGCGGCGGGGGGCGGGGGTGTCCCCCTGGGTGTTGGCGCCGCGCGTCCGGGCGTGCCTTGCCTGGCGCCCGCTGCCCTGCGGCACTGTGGACTATCGCCCCACGCCCCCCCCTGCCGGCCCGCATCCACCTACACCACA